CCCCCCSYGTTTTCAAGCACACTACACTCTCCTGGTCATTCTCCTTCCTCCTGCATAAATGATGGTTCTTCATTTTTCTAACAACTAAATATCAGAATGCCATATTCTCTTTTCAATCTTCACTCATTACTTTGGTGACTGTAGGCAGTATTAATGATTTAAAAATCGCCTACATATTGGAGCTGCAAAAAATTATTTTTCCATTTCTGCTCTCTCCCTTAAACTCAAAATTTCCACATGGATGCTTAACAGACATTTCAAAGTTAATTTGTTCAAAATTGACTGTCTGATTTCTCTGCAACTATATCCCCAAAACTTATTTCTCCGAAAGTCTTACCCATCATATTATGTTATTTTAAATATTCAGATTAATGAATCTGAATGCCATGCTTTAATGGTCTCTATCACCTTACACATTTAATTCATTAGCAAGTCCTGTAGAGTCTTTTATCATAATATGATCTTAATCCCAGTGATCCCTTCTCTGGGAATATACTCAAAGGAAATAAAATCAYTACTTTATTAATTTATTTTTTTACATCACCACTTTATAAAGATATCTGCACTCCTTTGTTATTTGTAGCATTATTCAYAGTTGCCAAGAGATAAAAACAACCAACCTAAGTGTCCACTGACGGATAAATGGATAAAGAAACTATAGTACATATATAAAATGGAATATTATTCAGCCCTAAAAAGAGTGACATCTTGTCATTTGCTACAACATGAACAAACCTGGRAAATATATGCTAAGTAAAATAAGCCAGACAGAGAAAAAAATCTTGCATGATCTTACGTATATGTAGAATAAAAGTAAATTAAAAAATACAAAGGTACAGAACAAACAATGGTTATCAGAGATGGGAATGGGGAGTAGAGCAGGGAGGAAATGGGGAAATGCAGGTTACAGAATACAAAGCAGTGGATATACAGGATAAACAAGTTGAGAGACCTAACAATGTACAACATAAGGATTACAACTAATAACATATTACTGTACATWGGACTCATGCTAATGAATTCATTTTAGCTGCCTTTGCTACTTAAATATTAAAACAAAACATGTGACACAGTGGATGTTAACTGAACTTCACTCAGCAACTTTTTACTGTCTATATGTAGTCCACAATGTCATGTTTAAACTTAAATATATACAACTAAAAAATGAGAGGAAGGAAGGTGGGGAGGGAGGAAAGSAGGGAGAAAAGGAGGAGGAGGGAAGAAAAGAGACATTAAATTTGAGAACTCAATAGGGTGTTAGAATTAGTTAGGAAGACGACAATGGCCTGGCATAACATCAGTGTGGACAGAGATTAGCACTCTAAGAACATGATTTAAAGACATAGAGTTCATGCGTTTGGGGGGTGGGGGTCAGCCAAAGCATCTCTGAGAAGTCACTTTTAGAGGCCATTGTCCCTTTTATCGTTAAGTCCCAAGCCACACAGCTAGTGAAACAAATTTTGCCAATCCTCTTTGACATTCCCAGACTTTTTCCCACTGTTCATATTTGTATCTGTAYCTTAAAGGTGTTTTTTCTAAAACTGGAAATATGTGCAGCATGTGCAGATAGCAAGTTAGAAAATGCCAGAGAATCAACACTTTCTGGGTGGGGTAATTTGAACAGTTTTTAAAAACTTTCACAAAGTTTCCCTGCAGGATTAAGCTATAGTAGCTCATTGTAGATATGACAAAAAAGAAAAAATTTGACAAAAAAATGACAAAAAAGAAAAAATTTTGTTGGCTACAGTTCCTTCTATCATCTTCTCTGTTTTCACCTGTGCTCCCTCAATTTTCCAAATAAATTACTTGCATTAAAAAAAATTTTTAACCACTTTTGACCACCTCTCCATCACTGTAAGTCTCCAACATCATTTATTTGATTATCTCATGTTCTTGCTGCTTCTCTTGACTTTCTTCACTTTTTAAAAAATTTCCCCAGTAGTCCTGTTAATATGTAAGTCAGGTCCTATGATTCTCTTCAAAATCTTTCAATGMCTTCCCATCCTACTCACAGTAAAAACCAAACTCCTTACAAGATCTGGGATCCTGTGTGACTTCATTTCCTACTATTCTCGCCTTYACTCCCATCTACTCTGGCCACAATGACTTCTTCTGCTGTTCCTGGATTATGACAGGTTATTTTCCTGCTTAAAGCCCTTGCATCTGCTGTTTAATCTGGCTGCAACACTCGCCCCTTGGTCAGTCCCATAAACTTATTCCTTTCAGTCTCAATTTAAAGCTCACCACAAAAGCCTCTGTAGAGTACTTAAGACTTTAAACCACCTCATCACCTTCACATTCCATTAATTATTTCCCTAATTATGTTCTTAATTATCTAAAACAAACAAAAAGAGTGAGGAAAAAAGTCAACTAGAGAAAGCTAATTGTCCTTTCAGAGTCACAGGAAAAAAGTCAAATTTGGAAAGTAATAAAAGGTAGTTGAAGAGGGGACAAAACTAATGGCAATTTTTCATGATAGGTTTATGACATTTAAAAAGTGTTCTCAGGACAATATGATGTTTCATTATCTTTGCCCCACACTAGTGAGGATGGGAAAAGATGGTTCATTATGCAAATTCTTCCCTGGGAAGCAAAGACAAAYGTGACATTACTCTGGAAGGAGTCTTAAAAGAGGACAAAGAATGGAAGAATCAACTCTGCATGTAATGAGCTGGAGAGAGGTGGGGTACAACAAGGAAGTTCCAGATGAAGTATACATTGAATTAAGTCTTTGGAAAGATGAATAGGAATTCAATAATCAGCAATATTCAAAAACAGGACAACATTCCTGGGAAAAATGAAGAAGAGAATAATTTTTAAGCTAAGTTCTTGTTCAGAAGGATATCCAATGCTTACAAAAAATTACCAAACCAAATATAATACACTATGTTCACTAAAGAAAAAAATAGAGTTGCTAGGTTTTTAGTTTGAGGTTTAATAGCATGATAATTAATGCTTATTAAAAAGAAGTTATGCCAGGCACAGTGGTGCATGCCTATAATCCCTCAGCTCGGGAGGCTGAAGATCGTAAGTTCAAAGCCAGCCTTAACAACTTAGTGAGGTCCTGAGCAACTTAAATAAAATAAAAAATGTTTTTAAAAAAGGGGTCTGGGATGTGGTTCAGTGGTTAATTATCCCTGGGTTTAATCCCTGGTAACAAAAAGCAAAGCAAARCAAAACAAAGCAGTAATTACAACAGAAGCACTTTTAATATAAAATGTCAATATACAGAAATGGATACCTTATCTCTTGCAGTAAGAAATCGTGGATCATCCTGAAAAGCTTCTTTGACAAGTTTACTAAATCTATTGAATAGTGTAAGCAACTGTTCAACATATTTCTCAGAGTCCTGAAAAAAAAATGTTTTACATTTAATTGAGTTTAATAATGGATTCACTGTGACATTTTTGTACATGCATATATTGTACATTGTTCATGTCCCTCTATCCTAATTATGTTATCCTAATTACTCTCTCCCCAACTTCTTTCTATTCCCAATTTTTCTAGTCTTTTCCCAGTCCTTAAGTCTCCTTTCTACTTTCTGGCCTTCTTTTTAAAATTGAGTTTTAAAAGGAAAATAATTATACAAAAATGAGAAAATATAATTTTAATATAAGACTATAGTCTTAAAACTATTTTTTTCTTAAAAATAAAAGGTGTTCCAATATTACTATTTTGCCATTTCAATTATTATTTTAAATACTTGATCCTGCATTTAAAAAATAATCTTGATATACTTCTATCATTGCCACTGGAGAAAACTTACAGTAGTAATAGTTTCAGCAGCTGCTACCATATCTGCCAATCCAGCACTAATGATATGTTCTTCCAAATCTTTCAACATTGGCTCTATCCCATTAGGAACTTTGTCCATCAATGAAAACATTAAATGTAACTCTGAAAGGACAGAACATACTCATATAATTATTTTATTCACTAGAATAAATTTTCTCTCTGATTTACATCATGAAATGCCTGTGGTAATAAGAATTTGGAGARATATTAGTTAGAAGTTTATAAAGGTAATAGTATTGTGTGAGTACAATTAGTTAGGAGTTGTAATTATAACTCCCTGATCTATCTTCTCAGTTTGACAAAAAGTATTTTTAAAAAATATAATTAAACATTATTACCCTATGTACATATATAACYATATGACTGGTGTGATTCTACACCATGTACAACCAGAAGAATGAGAAATTATACTCCATTATATATGATGTATTAAAGTGCATTCTACTGTCATGTATAAATAATTAAAACAAATTAAAAAATATCTAATTAAAAGTGATCACAAACTGTAAAACCCAATTCCATTTGACCTCCCATGACAATTTTTTTTTTTTTTGGTGGTGGTGCTGGGGATTGAACTCAGGGCCTCACACATGCTAGGCAAGCACTTTACCACTGAGCCACATCCCCAACCTGAGATAAAATATTTTTTATTTTAGAAAGCATAAAAGTACTGAAGTTTAGACAGAAGACTAGTACATTTCATAAAGTARTTGTAATATTACATATATAGCCATATAATTAAAGGGTTAAAAAATTACAAGTAGTAAAAATTATAAAAGAAATATGGTAAATATAAAACTGTATTCATAATTTTTCAATTCACAAAGCACTTTTTCCTGTTATATATCACTTAATTGACACAAAAACCTTACTTAACAGTACTGATTAACACTAAGTATAAATCCTTTATTATAGAGAGTTCAACATGGATCACACCTACTTTACTTATACTGGCATATAAAATTCAAACATTTCACTTGTGCCAATGAGTAGCTTTCTCCCTACCCACATCTCCAGTATTGGGGATTGAACTCAGGGGCTTTCTATCACTGAGCTACAACCTGCCTTTTTAGTTTTTGAGACAGGTTCTCACTAAATTGCCAAATCTGATCTCAAATTTGAGATCCTCYTGTCTCAGCCTCCCAAGTAKCTGGGATTATAGGCATGTGCCATAGCACCTGACTGAAATGCAATTAAAGATTAAAGGGGACCTTGCAGTTAAACACAATAAAATCTAGAAAATACACCAAAATGTTAAAAGTGGTTCTCTAAGGGTAAAAAGGATATGAACATTTTTTTTTTTTGTTTTATTAAATACTTGCTGCCTACCAAAATACCTTTCTTTAAAAAATTTTCAATTGGAGGGGGGTAAAAGAATAAAAATTATTAACGCGAAGTATTTCATTACTTTCTAAAAATATTTACCACAAGGTTCCACAAAAAAAGTCAAATACCAGGGCTGGGGCTACGGCGCAGTGGTAGAACTCTCACCTAGAGTGTGTGAGGCACTGGGTTGGATTCTCAGCACCACATATAAATAAATTAATTAAATAAAGGTCCATTAACATCTAAAAAATATTTATTACAAAAAGTCAAATACCTAGTCCTATCCTATACTGTAAATTTACAATTTAAATTGGTCTTTAAATGCAGAGTTCAACTTTTGAGAAAAAAAATGGGAAATTCACCACATACACCTAAAGAAATGAAATGCTTACAAATGAAATATGCAAACTCCTTAATAGTCTTTCTGTCTTAAATATTTTACCATTTTCTTTAAGCTCAGGTTATGCTAACAAATATGCCTATGTGTAAAAGAATAATCTAACAGCAATTTATTTAGTGACCTGCTTCAAAGACACTCTTAAAATGGAAAAGTTTTATGTGATGTTTTACCTACTTTCAGTTTCATTTCGCTTGATCATGCCTTGGCACTCCGCTAAGATAGTCTCTTTAAATGATGTCACCAGGGCATTTACACAGCATTCCATGAGCTGAAACACAGTAAAAATTAGTCATGGCTACTCTAATTTTCATAGCACTAATCTATCCAACACACAAAATAAACCATGTTATTCAATAGAAAAAAATTAAGTAAACTAAAATAGATTTTACTTACCTTTATTATAGGATTATTGAGGATGGATACTTTATCCTAGTTTACCAAAGTATATTTCTCTCTAAGAATAATGCTATAGAACTTAGGTTCTCTTTAGAAATTTTAACAAAAGTCCCCAAGGAGGGGAGAAAAAACTAAAAATATACAAAAACAAAATAAAAAAAMACTTTTGATTAATTTATCCTATCTGGAGAGAACCTATACTAGAATTAGATTCTAAAATATAGTGACATTCATTTAACAAAATATTACTGGATACCTACCACGTGAGTGGGCATCAAAGAAATGTTTGGAAGACACAAAAGAGTAAGATATAACCCCTGTTCTGGAAAAGATCACTATCTAATTGAAGGTGAAAAGGAAAACCTAAAGTGCTCCCACAGGATAATATCTAAATTGGATCTTGAAAAATTAGTATAAGTCCTAAAATTAACTGCGAATTCTAGGGAAAAGAAGGTGCACATGGAAGGGAAGACATAGTAGAAGTCGGGAAAGGAGGGAGGGAGCCACAAACATGAACAAAAACCTATGGTTTGGGATTTTATTCTACAGCTAGGAAAGAAAGAACCAAGAAAGGTTTAAACAGAGGATAAAAATAATGAGATTCTCATCTCCTCAAGTCACTGTTACAGATCCGTGTCAGAAGAGGAAGGCAGGTGGTATGCAGTGGGTGCAAAAGACTGGTAAATACTTCAAGTGAGATGGGTGTCTAGAATTCTCAGAGGCCACCAGGAAAAATCCCCTAAAGGGAGCAAAAGATATACAATATTCCTGATCCTTCCTTGTTATGCAATTACTTATTCCTCTTGAAGGGATCAAATAAAATAGGCTGTAAGTTCTGAAGTAAGATATCTTAAGGCTGATATATCTCTTCTGAAAAACAGATAATCAATCTGTATTTGGGGGAGCGTAAGTATTTTTGTCTTAAAATTCTTTGTTAAAAATTCCTCTCTTGGGGCTGGGGATATGGCTCAAGCGGTAGCGCGCTCGCCTGGCATGCATGCAGCCCGGGTTCAATCCTTAGCACCACATACAAACAAAGATGTTGTGTCCGACGAAAACTAAAAAAAAATAAATATTGAAAAATTCTCTTTCTCTCTTAAAAAAAAAGTCCTCTTGGAATCGATATAATGTTGATAATTACTTAATTTGAATTTAATTAATAAGTCATAATTACACTATTCTTCCTATTTTAAAAAATGTTTTAAAATTTTCCTTTAATAAAAAAGYTTTTTTCCTTCAAGGTTCTCTAATCCATGTATCTATCTCATTTCTGTCCTACCAAAAAATACAGACTTGAAATGGTTGAGAAATTCTTGCCTTGTAATGTGGGAAGCTCCTCCAGTCTTTATTAGCTCTGGAATATGCACAAGTAAACACTCCTACCCTTCTGCAGAAAAACCTGAATGAGAATGGGCAAAGCTAACTGTATGTAACTACTGGAGGACAAAGAAAAATTGCAATTTAAATAAATTTTAGGCCTCAGTCTCTGATCTGTTTTCTATTTCACTGAAAATTTTCACCTTGCATATTATCCTGGTCAGTCCAAATTTTTCAGATTCCAAAAATGTCGACCACTGTTTCAAACTGTTTGCTGTAGAATCATGCTTTCTTTCTTTTCTTTCTTTTTTTCTTTTTTTTTTTTTTTTTTTGGTGGTGCTGACAATTGGCCCATAGCTCAGAACATGCTAGGCAAGCACTCTACCACTGATCTATACTTCCAGCCCTTTTTATTCATTCATTTTGCTTTTTAGAGACAGATCTTACTAAGTTGCTCAAGCTGGCCTTGAACTTGGGAACCTTTTTCCTCAGCCTCCTCACAAAAGAAATACAAACAGTGCCTCAGAAGTATGCCACTATGCCCAGCATGAAATCAGCTGTAACCAGTTTATTTACTTTTATTATTAAATGACACAGAACAGAAAAAAAAATAGAACACATCACACATTGTAACAACAAAACTTTTGTTTCAGATTATGTGCAAATGAACAAAGAACAGTAACCTGAAGTACAAAATGTATTTCTTATTGTGGATTATAATGAGGATTAAAAGAATAGACTAAACTGACAAAATATTGAAGAAAACCACACAGAACTTTGTAACTGTTTAGATAAAAGGCATTAGGGAAATAAAAGGTGTTGAAGTAGTTTTCAGCTTGAGGGGTTAAACAATTATTATAGGTAGGTTTATGAGTGCTTACTATACCCTTGGCATAAGGCAAAATTCTTTACATCTATTATCTAATTTAACAAGCACGACCACCTTATGAAACAGCTATTTAATTTATGTAGACATAGGCTTAGAATGGCTAAATAACTTGCAAACTTTACACACTTAGTTCATAAGGACTAGAGCTATAATTTGAGGTTGGGTATGTAAGAAAAGCCTTCAACTTCTTTTTTTTTTTTTTTTTTAACTACACCAATAGAGTATGTATGCATTTAGTAATGCCTACATGTTCAGAACTGAGTTAAGTGTTTCAAGGATTTAGAAGTAAAAAAAAAAAAAAAAAAATGGTTCACACCCTCTATGATTCTATAGTCCTGTTGGRAACATATAATTTGGGGAGGTTAGATGAGTACTGGAAATTGAACTCAAGACCTTGGGATGCTAGGCAAGCACTCTACCACTGAGTTATACTGTCAATTCAGGAACATATAATTACATACCTGAAAACGTGCTTCATATATACTGATGAAAAGAAGTTCAWTTTCACTAACAAGCAAAGAAGCAGAAATAGATGCATTATCATTACACCACAAATTCACAAGGACAGAGACCATACTCCATTCACAGCTATACAGTCATGGCCTTGCAAATCGTTGGTGCTTGATAAATAACACAACAAAACAGTCTATAATTTGCTACTAAATCTAGTGCAGAAACAACAGATACTGTAGGAATTCAAGTAAGAGGAAAGTGATAAATGCTGAAGAATCTGGGCTACTTTATTACAAGTGGGTTATAAAGATACTATTAACATGAGTCTAAGAAAAATAATATAGGATGAGTTATATCAATGAGTTATATCATGATGAGTTATATCAATTCCTCACTGAGTACAGTGACTTTTGCTGGACAGAATTAAATTAGAAAAACAGGTTAGGGCAAAATTCTGAAGTCTTGAAAATCAGTGTAAGAAATAATGATACTATGATTTTTAAACAAAGAAGTAAAATAATAAAAATGATGTTTGTAAAAGATCAGTTTAACTCAAAAGAAATACAAATGGTCAATAAGAACAAATATGCCCAGCCTCATTAGTCATTTTTAAATGCATATAAAATCATCTTTAATATATGATGCTGGGAGACTGGCAAACATATACTGACAAAACCCTAATCAGCAGATATATGGATACAGAGGTACACTATTGATGGGAGTAAGAATTACAAGATTCCTCAAAGTCATTCTGGTATTACAGAGAAATTTATAAATGGCTGATATCCTTTGTTCAGTAATCTCATTTTCAGGAGATTCCATTCCAAGAGAATGCCAAGTATGAGGAAAGAGGCAYACATAGAGATATTAAAAAAGAAACAGACATATAAAGATATTCCAGGAAGTAGTACTTATAAGAAATAAATTATAAACAATGAAAATTGCCATTATTTAGGTATATTACAGTGTAGATAGACTGTAATAGAATTGTGTGGTGTAAAAATGCACAATGTCATATATTTCTGTTAAAATGCTAGAACACAGGAAGGAAGGAAAGCAAGTATTTTTGAGGGAAGAAAGTAAGAAAAAAGAAAGACAAGAAAAAACATAAGCCAAACAAGTATGACACAATGATACTACTGGTAGAATCTGGAGGCTGGGTATGGGTGGGTAAGGTTCACTATACTATTTCATCCCCTATGTAAATATTTGAAATCTTTCACAACAAAGCTTTTTTTTTAAAAAAAAACATAGAATAATTATAGTATAGATTCCTGTATATTGAAAAATCCTTCAGAAGACTATTTTATCTATGCAAAAAGAAGAAATGGATACTACTAGATAGTTCTCTCCTTATTTCAAATGAGTTTTGTCCTAAATAGGGTTGGTTCCTTGAATTAAATTCTTCAAGGAGGACAGAGAACATGTTAATACTCTTCTAAATGTCTTCCCCATCATTTACCAAATTACTATATACATGGACTCGAACCTAAATATATACTTGTTATTTGAAAAACACATCTGTATGGAAAGGATAGTGATAAACCATCTCTCTCACCTTGTATCCCTTTCTGTCTCCTTTTGCTAGCTTCCGTGAAGAAAAAAACTTTTTGCCATATGCCATCAACTCCTGTACTTGTTTGCCTGAGATGAGCACAACTTCTAAATCCATAGCAATCTCTCCCCAGAGGTCTGCAAGGTGAAACACTTTAACTATCAATGTGCTTGATGTTTTACTCTCTGCTACAGCAAGACTATAAACTCTTCAAAGATGTGCCATAAACACAGCAGGCACTYGATAACTATTTGTTCAATGATGAATTCACAGGTCTTTGAAGATGAAAGGTAGGCTATGTGATATGGTAGATTCTTCTTTTGATGGTATTCAGTTTGCACAATTAATTCTACATTGAAATTTAGCAAAAAGCAACAAGAATAGTTCCGACTACCATTAATTATATAAGTTTTTGTGAATAATAATTTGCCTTGCCTYAGCTATAAAATTGAGTTGAGCTAAAAATTATCTTAGTTTTTTCTACTTTAAGACAACTATCATCAGGCCCTTAACAATACAAGGATATCTRTACCATATTCAAGGGTTAATTTATTCTATGTGTGGTAGGCTATTCTCAAAATTAATTTATCTTGACCTTTCTACCTTGGTTGAGATTCTTTTTCTATCAATATAACTGGTGGTCCTTGTTTCATTTCTA